CGAAGCCACGCTCGGGATCCCGCGCGGGATCCCGCTCGGGGCGAACGCGGATGCCACGCAAAGGCGTCACTCTTGCGGAAGCCATACAGTTAGCACACGCCAGATTCTCTTGCGCCTCGTTTGGCCGTGTCTGCCAGGACTCTTTGCATTACGCTTGCCAACGCGCTTCTCCTACAGTACTCGCCGTTTCCTGCAAGGGCAGCCCAGCTGTCTTGACAATTGAATTCGGCTTTCGGAAATATAAAGAACGGGCAGCCTTAACTCCACCCCTAAAAGCCTGACAACTCCACCCCTAAAGCCATGCTTCCTGCGACTTGAAAGGGCGCCCGTAGCAACAAAACACGACATTATCAAGAAGCTTGCATTGTCCGAGTGTTGCACCATTCGCATCCAAATGCAAATGCATTATCGTAGCGGAACAGTTGGGCCATCAAGTCCCGAACTCAAGCTGGGCTAGGGCACTGTGTAAAAGCCTTACCAGCAAGAAAACGACAAGTCCATAATCCTGAAGAAACACCGTGCTCTGGTTTCACTCTTGAAAGCCCGCAAATACGCTCGAAGTTTTGCCGGGGCCGCGCCCGCAAACAGGCTTGAGACCCCGCCCGGGCCGAGCACAGACGCCGCGCAAGGCGCTGGTAACGCGCAGGCGGCTGAAAGGACCAAAACGGCCAGGCTCGCTAGCCCGCTCGGGATCCCGCTCGGGCCAAGCACGGATGCCACACGAAGCACCGCTCGGGATTTTCGGGGCGAGCGCGGATGCCACGCAAAGGCCTTAGACCCTCTTGCAGAGGCCATACAGTTAGCACACGCCAGACCCTCTTGCGCCTCGTTTGGCCGTGTCAGCCAGGGCTCTTTGCATCACGCTGCCAACCCGCCAGGGCTCTTTGCATCACGCTGCCAACCCGCTTCTCTACTGCAATAGCTGTCTTGACAATTGAATTTGGCTTTGGGATTCACAAACAACGGGCCCCTATAAAAGCCTGGCAACTCCATCCCTAAAGCAATGCTTCTTGCGACTTGAAAGGACGCCCGTAGCAAACATCAACGACATCATCAAGAAGCTCGCGTTGTTCGAGAGTTGCATCATGTTGCATCTAAACGCAAACGCATTATCGCAGCGGACAGTTGGGCCCGTGTAAAAGCTTTACCCGCAAGAAAAAGACAAGTCCATAATCCTGAAGAAGCACCGTCCTCTGATTTTACTCTTCAAGGCCCACAAATACGCTCGAAGTTTTGCCGGGGCCGCGCCTGCAAACAGGCTTGGGATCCCGCTCGGGCCGAGCACAGATGCCGCACAAAGGCGCTGGTAAGGACCAAAGCAGACACGCTCGGGCCAAACCCGTGCCAAGGCGCAGATAAGGACCAACACCGTCACGCTCGGGAGTCCACTCGGGCCAGCTATGGATGCAACGCGCAGGCGCCTGCAAGGCCCAAAGCGGCCAGGCTCGCCTGCCCGCTCGGGATCCCGCTCGGGCCGAGCACGGGTGCCACGCAAGGAAAAAGCAAAGGCAAGCGAAGCCACGCTCGGGATCCCGCTCGGGATCCCGCTCGGGGCTGCCACGCAAAGGCGTCACTCTTGCGGAAGCCATACAGTTAGCACACGCCAGACCCTCTTGCGCCTCGTTTGGCCGTGTCAGCCAGGGCTCTTTGCATCACGCCTGTCAACCCGCTTCTCTACTGGAATAGCTGTCTTGACAATTGAATTTGGCTTTGGGATTCACAAACAACGGGCCCCTATAAAAGCCTGGCAACTCCACCCCTAAAGCAATGCCTCTTGCGACTTGAAAGGACGCCCGTAGCAAAAATCAACGGCATCATCAAGAAGCTCGCGTTGTCCGAGTGTTGCATGATGTTGCGTGCAAACGCAAACACATTATCGCAGCGGACAGTTGGGCCCGTGTAAAAGCTTTACCCGCAAGAAAAAGACGAAGCACCGTGCTCCGATTTTACTCTTCAAAGCCCACAAATACGCTCGAAGTTTTGCCGGGGCCGTGCCCGCAAACAGGCTTGGGATCCCGCTCGGGCCGAGCACAGATGCCGCGCAAAGGCGCTGGTAAGGACCAAAGCAGCCACGCTCGGGATCCCGCTCGGGCCAAACCCGTGCCAAGGCGCAGATAAGGACCAACACCGTCACGCTCGAGAGTTTAATGCAACGCGCAGGCGCCTGCAAGGACCAAAGCGGCCAGGCTCGCTAGCCCGCTCGGGATCCCGCTCGGGCCTTGCAAAGGCAAGCGAAGCCACGCTCGGGATCCCGCTCAGGATCCTGCTCGGGGCGAACGCGGATGCCACGCAAAGGTGTCACTCTTGCGGAAGCCATACAGTTAGCACACGCCAGACCCTCTTGCACCTCGCTTGGCCGTGTCAGCCAGGACTCTTCGCATCACGCTTGCCAGCGCGCTTTTCTTGCCGTTTCCTGCAATGGCAGCCCAACTTCTTGATAATTGAATTTGGCTTGGGGATTCACAAACAACGAGCCCCTAAAAGCCTGCTTCTCCGCCGCTAAAGCACTGCCTCCTGCGACCCGAAAGCGCGCCCGTAGTAAAACGACTGACATTATGAAGAAGCTTGCTTCGTCCGAGTGTTGCATCATGTTGCGAGCAAACGCAAACGCATTACCGTCCCGAACTCAAGCTGGGCTAGGACACAGTGTGGAAGCTCTACCCGCGAGAAAAGACAAGTCCATCATCCTGAAAAAACACCGTGCTCTGGTTTTACTCTTGAAAGCCCACAAACACGCTCGAAGTTTTGCCGCGCAGAGGGGCTTGGGATCCTGCTCGGGCCGAGCACAGACGCTGCGCAAAGGCGCTGGTGAGGACCAAAAGCAGACACAGTCGGGATCCCGCTCGGCCAAACACGTGCGCCGCGCCAAGGCGCAGATAAGGACCACTCGGGCCAACTACTATGGATGCAACTCGCAGGCGGCTGACCAAAACGGCCAGGCTCGCTAGCCCGCTCGGGATCCCGCTCGGGGCGAGCACGGGTGCCACGCAAAGGCGTCAGACCCTCTTGCCGAAGCATACAGTTAGCACACGCCAGACCCGCTTGCGCCTCCTTTGGCCGTGTCAGCCAGGAGTGTTCGCATCACGCTTGCCAACGAGCTTCTCCTACAGTAAGCGCATCAGTCCTGAAAGATCCGCTACCTCGCCACCGCCTTGCGACAGCGAGAAGAATCGCCACGCTCGGGAGTCCACTCGGGATGCAACGCGCAGGCGGCTGAGAGGACCAAAACGGCCAGGCTCGCTAGCCAGCTCGGGATCCCACTCGGGCCGGCTACGGATGCCACGCAAAGGGGCCTTGGCGGGCAAACTTTAAAACTTTCAGGATCCCGCTCGGGAGAAACGCGGATGCCACGCACAGGCATGCGCGAACGCAAGCTCAAACGCACTTGGGCTTCCGCTCAGGCTAAGCAAGCTTCAAGAATCCGCTCAGGCTGAACTTTTAAGGCCCAACATACGGCCAAACCTCTGACTTACAGTTAGCACACGCCAAACCTAGCGCCTTCTCAGCTGGTGTCAGCCAGGACATCACGCTTGCCAATGCGCTCCTCCTAACTACAGTCTTTGCCCTTCACTGAAATGGCAACGCAGCAGTTTTAGTGCGTGGCATGCACCCCCATTATTCGGCGAAGGGCGCGCTTCTCCCTTAGGTGCATCCATCGGCGCAACTGCGGCACCCCCCCCCCCAGGATGTTTCGAAGTAATGATGATTCTGGCATGGCAACCTGCAACAGCACCCTGCGCAACTCTGCAGCACCCTGCGCAGCTCTGAGTCTCGTCCTGCCTTCCTTCCTTCCTTCCTTCCTTCCTTCCTTCCTTCCTTCCTTTCTTCCTTTCTTCTTCTTCTTTGCTTCCTTTGCTTCCTTTGCTTCCTTTGCTTCCTTTGCTTCTTTTGCTTCCTTTGCTTCCTTTGCTTCCTTTGCTTCCTTTGCTTCCTTTGCTTCCTTCGCTTCCCTTGCTTCCCTTGCTTCCCTTGCTTGCTTCCTTGCTTCCTTGCTTCCTTGCTTCCTTGCTTCCTTGCTTCCTTGCTTCCTTGCTTCCTTGCTTCCTTGCTTCCTTGCTTCCTTGCTTCCTTGCTTCCTTGCTTCCTTGCTTCCTTGCTTCCTTGCTTCCTTGCTTCCTTGCTTCCTTGCTTCCTTGCTTCCTTGCTTCCTTGCTTCCTTGCTTCCTTGCTTCCTTGCTTCCTTGCTTCCTTGCTTCCTTGCTTCCTTGCTTCCTTGCTTCCTTGCTTCCTTGCTTCCTTGCTTCCTTGCTTCCTTGCTTCCTTGCTTCCTTGCTTCCTTGCTTCCTTGCTTCCTTCCTTGCTTCCTTCCTTCCTTCCTTCCTTCCTTCCTTCCTTCCTTCCTTCCTTCCTTCCTTCCTTCCTTCCTTCCTTTCCTTTGCTTCCTTCGCTTCCTTCGCTTCCTTCGCTTCCGTGCTTCCTTCCGTCCTTCCTTACAATGCCCATGTAAAGCTATTTTGATGCCAAGCCTTATTTCAAAGACCTTGAACAATCCGACTGCCAGACTAGTTGGAGTGCTAACTGTTGGGCCTCAACCACGGCTTGGGAAAAAAACGCTGCGCAAGCGCCCAAACAGTTAGCACTCAACGTTGGAATGCCGTGTGCTAACTGATTGATACCCACTATACTGGTCGCGCATGCACACTCGAAGCAATTTGAGTCAACATGTTGCCACAGGATGCCACAGGCACAGCACAAACACAAACAGAACACGCTCCCTCCCTCCCCCTCAGTCAGTCAGTCAGTCAGTTTGTCCGTCCGTCATTCCGTCAGTCCGTCCGTCCATCCGTCAGTCGGCACTCAAGCACTCAGTCACTCAAGCACCCAGTCACTGAGTCATTGAGCCACTGAGAGAGAGAGAGAGAGAAAAAGGGAGAGAGCTAGAGAGAGCCAGTGAGAGAGGGTGAGAGAAAGTGAGAGAGAGTGGGCGGGTGGTGTTCAGGCGGGGCGGGCAGCAATGCTAGTTCTTCCGCCCATCCATGCGCTAGTGCTGGGTGCCCGGCGTTTGCCCAGGCGTTCCTTCTGGTGATGCGCTATGGCCTGATTGAGGTGGACATCTAGCAACTCTTGCTTGATGCCATCCTCTCCCCGTGCGCTCTGAGAGCATGCCTTGAGCATGCCGACGCCTGAGGCAACGCCACTCTCGCAGCAAAGCGGCCTGCATGGTCAAGAAGTCCAGCAGCTCCATAAGCATGGGAATGGCAAACAGCATGAAGCCCGACTCCTGGATCGCATGCGATGTAACCCCGAAACTGGCAGCCAGCACAAGACGCTGCGAAAGGCACGACTAAGAACAAGGCCTTGCAAAGACCGCTGGCCTAAGCCAGGGCAAGCTGCAAGCTGCAAGCTGCAAAGCGGAAAAGCTCGAGCAATCAGCTGACTCCCATATCTGAAGGGCTCAACTGCTCTTTCGTTCGAGGCTGAGCTGCTGGCCACTATCAACGAACATGGAACGATGAGCAGCAGCGGGTTCTGAGACAAACCTCGCGTGCTTTGAACCAGTTGAGCGCTCTGCAAGTGTATCCAGTGTGACCGATCCAGCGAAGCAACGACTGCTTCCACACACGCAAGTGGTCGGACAACCAATGCCCAAGCCGGCCCTACAGGCGCGCTCAGTCCGTCCAAGGGCGGTGCCACCTGCGAACGCAGCAAACGCATGTGCGTCGAAAGGCCGCGCGCGCAAAGTGGGCCAGAGCGGCCTGGCGATGCCGCATTTCTTGGGACATCTTGGCGCAAAGTGGGTGCATCTTGGCAAAGCCACGAGTCGCCTCCAAAGAAGAAACCCGTTCAAAGCATGATCAGAGCCAAGGCTCAGATGCCCAGTGGCCATGGGAAAAAAGCGGCATCCTTTTTGTTGGTTGAGTTTCAAGGGGAACCCTTCCCCAAAAAAAGTTGAAAAAAGGACACCACTGGGCAACAAAGCCAAGGGTAGGTTTTGTTGGGCTTGGAGGGTCCTTTGCCAGCCTCAAGGGCGCTGGAGGGCTAAAGCCCGCCGCATAGGCATTGATCGCCTGGACGGGGGGCCGGCTGACCACCCCGCCCCCACTGCCCACAGCCAGAAGCACAGCCAAAGAAGCAGAATCTGTGAGAACACGACCACCAGCAACAGCAACAGCAACAGCAAGTAGGAAAAACAAGCCATGGCCTGTCACTGCCGCTCAGCGCTCATTCCCTTCATGACATGTGTTTTCAGTCAGTAAACCAAAAGCAGTCCACGTGGTGGTTGGTATGTCATCCCCCTTTACCCCACTACAATAGCTGACATGTGAGCATTGACCGCTGCACATGTAGCACCTTTGACTCACTCCATCTCACATTTACTTCCGGAATGCTCCCGGGCACGCGTCCGCAGGACCGCTATGAAACGGTGCGAAACAAGCCGGCAGATTCAGACTGCTCCGGCTAGGAAAGCTGAAAAGAAGTGGTGCCCAGTTTCGGCAACTGGCTGGCTGCTTAGGTTCGCCTGAGTAAGACTCCATCGCATTTGGGGAGAAACATGCCATGGTTGGTGGTCTCATGAGGGTGCCGGCCGCTTTGCCAAATGCATGGAGGCCGCAGCAAAGGCACAGCCAACAGAAAGCCGCCATATCTGGCACGTGGACGCAGCATGACGCGGCGGTTGGGTTTACTGGGGCAAGACCCCCATTTGTCACAAGGCAGTCGGGCGCAGACTCACGACTCCCCCAATCTGGCAGACCGCTCTGCAACCAGATTGTCTTATGTGCGCTACTCATGCCACAAACACCGCTAACACTAAGTCTGCAATTCCTGCCAGACGGTTTTGACTACTGAGTGCTTACAGTCAATGCACACAGACTTTGTGGGCTGAGGCCTCCCAAACACGGGGGTTGGCAAAAGCTACATGCACAAGGCGGCAAGACTAGAATGCCATACAAAATCCATACAGTTGGAAGGCAGATTCTTTGGTTGGGCTGTGGTAAGAGAAGCGGCGTAGAACAGGTGCACGTCAAGCAGCGTAGAGGACGCCATGGAACAAGGGAGGACACAGCAACCGCAATTGGTTTTGCATCTGGCCTCAGTCACTGGGAGTTAACGCAAAGACTGCTTGAGCACCTCGTCAGCGAAGGTACTTAATCCTCAGCAGGCAAAAGATGCCAACTGATGTGCCCAGCCATTTATTTGACCACATATATTAATGTACGTGCACGTACATCGTTTGTTCGTTGGTTGGTTGGTTGGTTGGTGGGTTGGTGGGTTAGTGGGTGGGCGGGTTGGCTGGGTAGGTGGGTAGGTGGGTAGGGTCCAGCCGGACCGACATGCCGAAGTTCCCTTTCGGCGATGATCCAATGCGTGGCGACTTCGAGCCCAAAACTTGTGAAGCCAAGCGCAAATGGCCAGAATCTGGCTGGGTGACAATCTTCTTGGCGGCCCGCAGTGCCACTATCATCGGGGCTTATCAAGCTTGACAACAATCCAGGTTTCGTGCGAGGCCTTGTTTTTCTGCAAAAGCACATGTGTAAAAAAGCGACAACACGCAAGCTT